AGACCAAAAGTAGTATCTCCATATCAACTAAAAGGGTTATAATATATCAATGTTATGTTCAAGGCTTGTTTCTTCTGCCCTGAAGTTCTAAAAAAAATCAGTTATTGTAAGTTTGAACATTACAAAACATGAATAAGCTTCATAAAAGGAGCATATTAAACTGTGGTCATTTTCTGTTTTGTCTTAGCTCATCCAGAACACAAAATGCAAAAATGTCATCAGATGGGTAGACCGTGTTTGTACATCCTCCATCCGTCCTCCAAAGGTAGCCAGTTGGGGGAAATGCTTGTCCTAGCTTATTGGTTATTTTTGACCTGCCTTTGTGTGCTTTTCATTGTGTTCAAGTTCAAGTGTCTTGAAGAAAAAATAAATATTCAAACTATATAATAAATAGTCACTTTTGAATCCATTTAACACAATGTATTATTAGCACGCATTATGAGTTGAGGTATGTGCTAGTCTTTAATATTCTTGCAGTGTAACCCCTCTCAGACCATAGCTAATGACTCCAGCACCAGCCATTACCATCCCAACCATCTTTAACTACCACAAACGGACACTATGCTGCCTGAGTCTCAAACAGATGTGCTGCTGACATGTGGTCAGGTTTAAGAGAAAATTACCAGCAACAGTGGAAGATCCAATCTCAGTGTAGCCATTACTGTCAGTTGGACATTTTTTTTTCCCTTTTTCTTTTTTTTTTTTTGCATGTGACCTTTAAAGGAAGGAGCTGACTGCACATTTCTCTTCAGTTGCTGGATGACTTCAACAGACTGAGATAAACCAGTGGAAAGGATGAGACTTAAATGAAGAATTAGTGATTTGAATTGGGAGGTCTGTATTACAGTTTAGAGGGCCTGTAATGGATGAAGACGATGGAGAGAGGGTTTCAGGTTTCACATTTCAAAATGACGATCTCAGTTTCACAAAGATATATTAATCTTAAAAGTTACCTGCTGTGTGTGTAATTTCATGCTTTAATTTTGTGCCAATTTTTTTAACATTAATGTATTCAAAACAACTCCCAGTACATTCAATTATCCAATCACATCTCCTCCAGTTCATTTTTGTAATCGTGGAGGAAACTGGCTTGGCAGACGGAAACACAGCAGCTGGAAATATCCCATTAACTTGATATCAGCCAA